ACTACTTTAGATAAACATATACTAACTGACATAACTTCATTTTTATTACCAATGTCGTGCATTGTAGTCTGCATTCTTTGTTGCATTTAAAATAATTGATGCTAATAAATGTTGTTTTATAGTTGTTAAAAGTTTGCATATATGTTTGCATGTATATTATGATCAAAGTTAAAATTTTTTTTGATAAATACGTGTATGTGGTGATACTACTCAGGTATCACCACAGCTTATCTCTATCAGGTACATTGATTTTCAATTCATATATGTTTTTCTTTGTATTTATTCGTTACATTTTTAACTTCAGATTTATGGTGTATTCATTTGCTATAGAACAAATCATTTTTGAATTTTTTAAAAATATCTACACCAATCAACATTTAAAGTTCAATGTTGCATATACCATTTTTAAGTAGCTTCTAGGCTTTTTTAATGCTTTTCTTATTCAAGTGGTTTCATAAGCAAAGTCTACAAGCAAATTTGAGATGAAACGTTTTTCAGCTTTCAAGGAGTATCAATGTTGTTCTCTGTTTAATTTAATTTGTTTAAATAGAGTAGTTTTAGTAAATAAATGTTTGTTTGTTCTTGGTTTTTTACTTAATTGTTTTCAGATTCTTAAGAACTAGGCAACTTAGCAAAGCAAGATTTATTATATTTTTTAGTGCAATTGGAAAGAGCTAAAGTGCTTTTTAGTCACTTCAAATCATTTTTTTCTTTTTTTAAATAGAAGGGTTAATAATAAAAATATTTAGACAGTCGAACTGTTACTGATTTAAGTAAGTTTAATGTTTTGTTTTACTTTATATTAGGTAAATATTTTATCTATTTAACATGGAAAACTGACTGTAATTAAGATGGCATTAAGATTGTGCCTGAAGGTTAAAATAACTTTGCATTGTAGTCTAAATTCTTTGCTAAATTAAAATAATGTTAATAAATTTTTTTTTATATTTTTCAATTGTAAAATTATAAAACGTTCATTTATTCAGTTGTAACAGTAGTATAATCACTGGTAATATATATTTAATGATAACGGATGTATAATATTAGGCTCAAAGAAGTTATTAGTGTAAATGGTTATAGGTGACTTGAAATTGTTGTCATATGAAAGAAATAGATCTAGGCGTAATAAAATTATTTGTCGTTGAAATTGAAGAAATTTTGCTTGATGAACCGAAAACTTACTTGACAGAATTCAGTGTCAAGCGGTGTTGATGTCTATTATTTGACTTAACATTAGACACTTTAAAATAAAGCAAAGTATGAATTTTACTATTTATAGTAACAAATAATAACAGTTTCAATTTTAAATGATTTTTTTTTTTTTTTTTTTTTGTTATCTTAAACATAATTGTGTTCATTTTTTTTTAGTTGTCTTTGTCATCACTTGATTATTTTGCTTACTGTTGAAACATGGTTTTAATTTTGTAAATTTAATATGATGTGAAATTTACAATATTAATCATTTGTCAACAGTTAGAGAGAAGCTGGAAATTAATTAAGAAATGCTGGAAATTAACTTTTAGTTAAGGTAAAAATAATTTTGTTTATTGGTAGCATAATAAAACCAGTTACTGTTATTTCTTGCATGACTTTTTTACTTTTTCTAACATGGTGTTTTTAAAACACTTCCTCTCTCTCTTAAATGAGACTTAAATAAGAATTAGTATTGAGAATTGTAGAGAGAGAATTGATTAAACTCTGTAATTACTGAGCTCTGATTAAACTCTGTAATTACTAAGCTCTAGCGTATTTTTTAATACTGCAATTGATAATTTGCTATTTAAAGATATAATTCTTTAAATTGTCCCTTGGTTGTTCAAATATTGTAATAAATAAAATCTTTTTAGTTTCAAGTATTTTCTCTTAGGGATCGTCTATATATTACATAACGCGAAATTAAACATAGACAAAAGAAATATCTTAAAAACCGTGTTTCTCTCATGGTCAACTATATGCTGCATTTTCAAGAACTATAGCATTTAATAGTTTGTTTTTCAAAATTGATAAACATCTTATTCAAGGTATAGTAGGTAAAAAAATGTATCATAAATATTGTTATATTTTTTAAAGTTCTTAATTTATAGTCTTTAGATTTTCATTTTGAAAATTTACTGTTAAAGGTTGTGAGCACATTTTGTATGTATAACTTTATTTATCATTGTTTATTTTTTTTTCTCATAGTTTTTGGTAAATATATCTATCATTCAATAGTTGTAAAATGTGTTTATACGTGTTACATAAAGTCATATTTGTTTATAGTTATATATATGTTTAAATTATAAAAGCCAAAACAACAATTTATATCTTAGTTTGATTTTTTTTTTAGTATTGTTAATGCTTTGGTACTTCAAAACAGGTTTTATAGTTACATTTTCAATAAATCTTTAATTGCAATTTCAAAATAAGTTACTATAAATAGGTAAATCGATTTTTGGTAATTGTGTGGTGGTTTTTTTTTTTTTTTTTTTTTGTAATTATGATATCATAATTTCATTACTTTTTTATTTTAGAACTACGTTATGACGCATTTATAAGATTTATAAAATAAAATAACCTGATTTCTTTTTATTGTAAATTTTTGTTAGCTAAAAAGATATAAATATAAGCTATTAGTTAATTTTATATTTTATCTATTTTATGCCTAATAATTTGTTGTACGTATTTTAAGGGGATCTTTGTGAATGGGGGGGTCATAACTAAAAACCTTTAAAAATATGGAGAATATTGTAGTTTTGCGCATTACTATCGAGTTACTTAAGTTTTATTTATGTGTTTAACTAATTAGTTAGCTTAGTCTGTATTTGCAACACTTTTGAGGAAAGAAAGAAAACATTCTTATATAAGTAGATCATTGTTTTACATTTTATTATTTAATTTTATTCACCTGGCCACCATTAAAGCAAAGAGAGGGAAGGAACCTCTTTATTAGAGTCAAAATATTTAGGAAAATTAAATTTTGAGTTACAAAAGGAATTTTTAGTAAATGGTGGCAAATTACCGTTTACTAAAAATTAATGAAATAAAGAGGACAAACAAATAATATAGATATGGTCTGTGTTGAACAGACTTAACAAGATCCGGGTCGTATCAGCTTGGTTTACAAATTTTTATGTCTACTTATCTCTTATAATTTTTGTTTTAGGTTTGTCATATGATGCATTAATGCATTAAAAAATTTGTTATACCCATGTTTGATCGTAAATTAAATTTTTTTTGTTTGAAAGGTATTTGTACTCAGTTGCGTAGTTATTTATAACAAACTTTGTTATTTTTTATAAATTTATTTAAACGTGTGCATTTAACATTTTTAAGTTAACAATTTTCTTTTCTAATGAACAATTAATCAAGGGGATAACAAAAAATTGATAACTCCTGTATAATATAAGTTAACTTCATTTTAATTTTAATGTTTCGTGTTATAAAAATTATTAAAAGGATTTAGTTGACACTTTCGTCAATTTAAAGCATGATGAAGTGTTATTATTTTGTGTCAGTAACTAAAAACGTATTGTGTTAAACTTAGGAAGGTCAATGAAAATGGTTCTGCCTTACACTGTTATGACCTATGCCATTTGTAAATTACTTAAATAATGTTACGTAGTAATTGTAAATGTTAAGTAGTAGTTGGTAAATTATTTTACCTCATACTTTTTATGTTAATTTTACAGATGGATTAATTTTTTCAAGCTGAAGGCGATTTTCTAAAAGGGTATTAGTTAAGGTTTTGCAACATTAAATTGAGGAAAACAGCCACTATAAATTAATTATGTAACAGACCGACCAAAACCCGTATTACGGGTTGCTTTTTGCTAGTATATATTATATATATATATATATATATATATATATATATATATATATATATATATATATATATATATATATATATATATATATATATATATATATATATATATATATATATATATATATATATATATATATATATATATATATATATATTATATATTATATATATATATATATATATATATATATATATATATATATATATATATATATATATATATATAAATTTAATTTTTAAAAAATGAAATAAAAATAAAAATACCTTTTCAACAGATATAGCAAAATTATCAAGGAGAGAAACTCTTTGGTTGTCTTCCATGGTTGAAACCACGTAAGCTAAAACCAAACATTTTAACCATATTTTAAAAAATCCAAAATTAAACCTAAACAAGTTATTTGATTTTTATTTATCTAATTTTAATTCAATTTCTTGTATTGCTTTCATTATTAAAATAACAAGTGAAAAATGCACACCAGTGAAAAGATGGAAGTCAAACTCTTTTTAATACGCAACAACTTTTACCTAAATTTCTAAAATGCTTTATTTTTAATTGTAATATTTTTATTTATTATATATTACTATGGCTCATATTTGTTTAAAGCTAATAATAAAGGATAACTTTTAAAATTAATAAAAAATAGAGTTTTATAAAAAAGTAAGACAATAATCCATTTTAAAAACTTTTATTTCACTGTTTTGAATAATTAAATCATTTATTTTTTTGATTGGAATCAAGTAAACAATTAGTATTGACTGAAAATAATGAAAAAACAAAATTTTACTTTAAAAACTTCACAAGTGTTTTATGTCAAAATAAAATCTCAAACACCAAAAAACAGTGTTGTTGCACCTCCAATATAAAAGAAGCATTATGGGATTGGTATGGGATTAGCAATATCAGCAATGATGTGTTGCAAAAAGTTGGAAAAAAATCTTTTTATTACAATTCTAGTTTGTCAAACTTTGAAAGAACTGTATATGGGAGATCAAAATATATAGGAGATCAAAATATATTTTCTAAATTAATAGCAAGCCAATTAAAATTGAACAATATATTTTGAAAATACAAAAAATATAACTTATATTAAGATATAATTTATATTTATATATGATTACTGTAACTATATTAAAGAATAAATAATTGATTGACATGAATAACAATCAAATATATGGAAAATCTATTTAGGTCTAGTCAGCAGCCACACTTACTTTTTATATAGTTTCGAAAACAATTACTATATTATATGTTCATGTAAATTGTGTATTGTTTAAACTAAATGTAAAAACGAAATGAACAAAACAATGTAACAACTAAAAAAAATAGACTTGTATATTGCTTGTGTATTGTATATATTATTAACTTTATTAAGTTTTTCTTATTACTATTCATTACTTTATTTTTTATTATTATTATTTTCTTTTTTGTTTTATTTGAAGTATGATATGTTTAAATTTACCTTCAAACTTGTCTTTCAAGATATTCATTTTTTTAATTCATTAATGATGGTTTAAAGTGTGAAAACATTCATACTTTCACATAACTCGTTGCTTTGATATTTTTCACATATAGGTTAAATACATTATTGTCTTTATACTTAAGATCTAAAAAAAAATTTTAAGATAAAAAAAATTTTTATACATACATATTAAAAAGATAATAATAATTTTTAATCAATTTCAACATTTAAAAAAAAAAATTAATATAAAATCTTTTACAATAACTGCATCACACTTTAATAAATTCATTGTAAAAATTCAATTGTTCATAATAATGTAAAAACAATAAATCAAAACATTAAAATAACAAATTTTTTTACAAATAACTGAAAAGATTAAAAAAAGCAACTTCATAAAAAACAAACAACAAATTTACTATTTAAGTAATTTATTCAAACAAATATACTTATATATTTAAAAACGAACAGTTTTGTTAACATATATGTTAAATATTTTTTAAAGCTTTGACTTATTTTTAGATCTAATCAGTCCCTCCAATAGATCCCATTGATCTTCAGGTATTTTATTTAGTTCATTAAACATTCCAGAATAACTTCTTCTTTCCCCGCCATCAAAACACACAATCTAGGAAATAAATACATTTAAAAAGACAACTGAAACTAACAAGAATGATTTTGAAGTATACTAAATATAATAAAAAAGATAATACCTCCCCATTCATGAAACTAGCATAGTCTGAAACAATATAAGAAACTAAATTAGCAAGCTCCTCGATTTCTCCAAATCTTTTTACAATAATCTTTTCTTTCGCAGCTTCCATAAATTTTCCTGTTGGATCAAGTCTAGAAAAAGCTCCCTGAAAAATTTTTTTTAAAAAGTCTAAAAATTTTATACTGCATTCAGTTTGTTTTTATGTAGACAAAAATGCATATACTGCATTTTTGTCTACATAAAAACAAACTGAATACTTAAAACCCTAGTGTTTTGAAATGAAATTAGTATTTAGTATTAAAAAATAAATACAATTTTTTATTATTCTTTATTCGTTTTATTTTTTATATATTCTTATATCTATATATAAGCCAGTGAGAATCAGAATGGTGTAAGTCAATGTTTCCTCAATAAGGATTTTAAGAGTTTTATTAAATTTACTGTAGAGGAAAATCTACAATCTGAACTTACACTATACACCGGTCTCAAATTTAACAGGCTCAAACTTTTTACTCACTTATCAATTTTATAACTACCTCTGTTTGAAATGATCCAGGTGCAATTGCATTTAAACGTATTCCATATTTCCCCCACTCAGATGATAAAGACCTAAAAAAAAAAATTTGCTATCATAAATTTGTTCAATTTAAAAATTAAAACTTCTAAATTTTTACATTTTTTATTTGAAAAAAATTCTTATATTTTTAATGTTTCATGTTTATTTAATGAAAATATTTCATGTATTTATTATTTTACATTTATACTATATTACAAATTTTAACTAATTTATTTTGTGCATAATTAATGTATTAAAAATAGACACTTTCATCAAGACAATTTTCCAGAAAAAAGTTTTTCAAAATTTTTCAAAAAAAATAATGAAAAAAAGTTAATTATGTTTTGCTATTATAGATAATATTAAAAATTATTTTATAATGGATATCCTTCATCTGTAGATAAATGCAAAAGGAAATATATTATCTAAAACCAAAAGTAATTTAGTTAAATATAAATGTAAAGGGAAATAAGGAATATTAAAAGTAAACAAAGCCAGATTACATTAATGTCAATTCAACATAACTTAAACTCAAAAGCAAGTCACTTTTTTTTTAACAAAATTTTTTTTTAACTTAATGCGCAATGATTATATCAAATGAAGAAATTAAATGAAAGCCCAATGAACTGTACGAGACATCAAAGAGATACTTGAAACAACATTTGTATAATACTTTTTAAATATATTCAATCAAGTTAAATGTATTACGATTTTTTTGGATAATTTTTTATTTGTCTATTGTATTTTTTTGTATTTTACAGTCGCAATATACAGTTGCAACATAATGGAAAATTATTTTTTTGATGACACAATATTAGTGACATTTTTTTTGATGACACAACAGTGACATTTTTTTTGATGACACAAAACTAGTGACATTTTTTTTGATGACAAAACATTATTGACATTTTTTGATGACACAACATTAGTGACATAGCAAATTTGCTTCAAATTTAACAATAAAAGATGACTTCTTGCTTTTTTTACTCTTTCAAAGTATAAAATAAAAACTTACAAACTAAAAGTTAAAAAATAAAAATATTCATATTATTCAACAACAAAAAAAACACACTTCACCATGGCATCAACACCTGCTTTAGCACATGCAGAAGGTACAACATATCCAGATCCCAAATCTGCATACCAAGTTGTTATAGAAAGAAAGACCCCACCTAAAATACATAAATTTAAGGTAAAATTAGGATAAAAATCTTATTTTTAATTAATTTTTTGAAAATTTAATAATTTAAGATACGAATAGGTTCAAAAAAGTTTATAAGTGAGACTTTTTCATTAAAGATAAGAAAAAAAACTAAAAGTACTTTTAATTTCACGTACTATGAAACTGAATAAGTAAATATAGAAAAAGAAACCTTTCTGAGCTTTAATTAACCTTTTTCCAACATCTAAAGTGACATTAGCAGTACCATTCAAAACTATGTCAACAATATTTCGAAAAGCATTTGCAGAAAGTCGCTCAAAAGGAGATATAAAGTTACCAGCAGCATTATTTATAACTATGGTGGGAAGACCTAGTTCTTTTTCTATTGTATCAACAACCAATTTGACACTTTCAGGTTTACGTACATCCAACTCCAATGGTAAAACCTAAAATAATATTGGTAAAAATAATAATAATAAAATACTAATAACAAATTTTAAAAATAAAACAATCTAAAAGTTCATTTAGCTGTTAGTAAATAATCAGAAAAACACAGTTTCATGACATTTCACATTGTCATCAATCATCCAGAAAAGATGTACAAATTCATTTCAAACTGTCATTTACACCTTAAAAACATTCACTCATTCATTCATTCATTCCTAAAAACATACTTACCATGATTGATCCTTAAAAGATTCGATATCATTAAAAATATTTATAAATGCATATACAAATAAATTTCAGGTTTTGTATAAAGAGTAACAAAATAACAGTTCAGCTATGAAAGTATTTATCTCAGTGATCTCAGGGTACAGAAATACCTCAAGGAATGGCATCTCACGTGGCTCATGATATCTTTTATATACAGCCACAACTAGTCACTAAAGCAATTAATACTCTCTATCTTGTAATTACAGATACACCTAATAATTAATTATTCTTATTATAGATACACATAATAAGTTAAACATTGTAAATGAAAAAATAATGATTTGTAACTATAGTCAATTATATTTAACAACTTTTCGTTAAAACATAACAACTTGTTTATACATCTCATTTTGCCAGCTAGTATTGTACTCAGATGAATATAATATAAAGATGAATACCCATAATGTTAAACCACTATGTGTGCCCAAATTTAAAAAACCTAATAAATAGACAGGTGGGAAACAATTATAATGTAACATTGTCATTTTTTAATCATTAAAATTACTAACTAAAAAAGGAAATGAAGGATTAGCCAATAAAATTAGTTTTGCGTAATTGCAGAGCAAAGAAACCCAAGAACAAAGTATTATATAGACCATATTGCTTAAACTATTTATCAAGTACATGAGTATGGTCCTACATTTTTTTTATCAAAAAATGTAATCAAGCATGGTCACTAAATTTGGAATCAAATATTCTCAAACAAATCCAAAACAATGCATTAAAAGCAATATCTACAATAAAGCATCTATAATACAAATAGTATTTACAAATAAATGATTTAACAATATTGGAGTTTTACAAAGTTATAAAGTGTCACAAAATTTAAAAAAGATTTTACATTCATCGAAATCAACCAATGAGCTAAATAGCTAACAACATTATTTTTTTGCAATTCAAAGTTTATTGAAGTTTTTGAAATTATTGACAATTGGAAAACTTCAATTTCACAAAAGTAGTGCAATAATTGGAAAAATTTAAGATACATAAATATTCACAAAAGAAAAAAATCAAAATTTAAATAATAAAAGTTTAAAAAAATGAACTAAAAAAAACTTAAATATTAAAAATTTTAAAAATAAATATTATTCATCTTAAAAATCAAAATTGGAATTTTTGACTTGATTCAAATTTCCAAAAAAAGCTGCAACAGTAGTCACCAAAAAAAAATGTATATATTGAGTGCTTGTATATGTGTTGTGTCTATATTAACAAAAAAAGTAGTATGTATATATTAAGGGCTTTAATTTTATATATATATTTAAATGCTAGTCGAAACTAGGTCAGGTCAGGATAATCGAGATCAATCTTGCTACTGGTATCAGGTAACCCAGTACCACCTGCCACAAGCCCCTCTGCCTTGCAGAGTGTGCTCTTCTTATGCAAAGGCTAGGAGAAATAAACTCCGACTAAAAATTCCCCTGCCTTAGGGCTCTTGGTTGAGTAGAGGCTAAAGATGGTGTCTCGATAAAAACACTCATCTTGGGCAGATGTTAACTGCATCCAGCTAAACATCCCCTGCCTTGGGGCTCTTGGTTGAGTAAAGGCTAGAGATGGTGTCTCGATAAAAATACTCATCTTGGGCAGATGTTAACTGCATCCAACTACTGTCTTGTAGAAGGCCTCCTAGGCAAAGACTTTAGGGGTAAGCAGAAAAATTCTGCTAACCAGCCTCGAACCCCTTCTTCATCTATTAGGCTGGCATAGATGTAACCTGTGTTACATTGTTTCCTGCCTAGGATGATGAATGCTGGATCTCCTTGACTCTACTCATAGAATTTTGCTTTTGCCTCCTTGATAATGGCTATGCAACTCTTTCTGTTATCTCCATATGAGGGTACAGCTCTAAAACTCAGTTTAATGGTTCTGAGGCCGGCTGGTAGTAAGGTTTCCCGAACTCTATGGTAGCTCTCAGAGAGGCTGATTCCATCAACAGCTGCAAAATATCAGAGTATTAACAGTGCCATGTTGCGCATGGATGGTGTCCATGTTAATGCTTTTGGTGTGCATTGTCAAGACCACATAACTGCATTTAAGCCCTATGTCACGGCTTAGGGTTAATTAACAGGACTGAGACAACTGCATAGCTCATTGATTAGGAGGCTGTGCTTTATCTATGAATGAGTCAAGTTCTCATTAAACCCAAATCATGACCAAAGTAACCAAAAATTTAAAACCTAAAAAACCATCCCCACCACCTAAATATTTTAATATATCTTTTACAAATATTCGCGGTCTACGAAGCAACTTTTCATCAGTTGAGTCTTACCTCCTGCAAAATTCACCAGACTTGCTTGCACTCAGTGAAACAAATTTAAATTCTGCAATTCCTACTTCAGATGTCAGTGTTGATGGGTACTATCCTTTGATTCGTAAAGACTCCAATAGTCACATGCTAGGTTTAGGGGTATACATACGCATTAATTCCCCTATTTGTCGTGAAATCAGGTTCAAATCCTTTGACCATTCTTTTATGTGCTTTCGCCTAGCACCTCTTCACTCTATCACCTTTCTCTTTGTTCTTTATCGTTCTCCTTCTTCCCATGATTGTACTCTCTTAGTTGTTATCTCTGATCAAATTGACCATGCCCTCTCTCTTTACCCCTCTGCCAATATTGTTGTTGTTAATGATTTTAATGCCCATCACATTGAATGGCTTGGCTCTAACACCACTGATCCTGCTGGCACTAAAGCCTTTAACTTCTGCGTTTCTCAATCTCTTACTCAGATAGTTAACTTTGTGACTCATTTTCCTGACAACCCTAATCATTTACCTTCACTCATTGACTTATGTCTTGTCTCTGACCCTAGCTTATGTTCAGTTTCTCCCTTTTCTCCCTTAGGTAGTTCTGACCATGCATTGATCTCTATAAATCTTTCTTCTCGTACTTCTTTTTTGGTCTCACCTTATCATCGCACCACCTACTACTACCCTAAAGCTGACTGGGATTCCTTTTGTGATTTTCTTCTTGATGGTTCTTGATGTTTTTTCTCTCTCAGCTGACAAATGCGCCTCCTACGTAACCTCCTGGATTCAGGCTGGAATGGAAGCTTTTATTCCTTCACGTCGGTTTTAAGTCAAGCCTCATTTTACTCCATGGTTTTCTCCTTCTTGTGCGGCTGCTATATCCAATCGTAATCATTTTTTTTATCTTTTTCAAAAGAACAACTCTCTTGAGAACAAACGGTTATTTATTATTACAAGAAATCGATGCAAAAAGGTGCTTTCTGATGCTAAACTCCATTATTCTCAGTTCACTAAATCTTGCATCTTATCGCAGAAGTTAGGCTCTAAAGACTTTTAGAAAATCTTCAACAGCATTATTAACAAGGGTAGATCTAACATTTCATCTCTCATTCATGGGACTGATCTTATTACCTCTCCCAATGTTAAGGCAGAACTATTTGCAAAGAACTTTTCTTCTAATTCCACTCTTGAATCTTATGGACATTCTCTTCCTTCCATTCCAGTCAAACAGGTTGACCCATTGTTAGACATTCAAATCACTCCGGCTTCTGTTGCTAAAGTCATATCTCAATTAAACTCGTCTACAGCTTGTGGTCCAGACAACATTCCTGTCACAGTCTTGCAGAATTGTTCTCCAGAACTTTCTTCAATTCTCTCTAAACTATTTAACAAGTGTTTTGACTGAGTCTTGTTTTCCTGCTTGTTGGAAAATGGTATCTGTGGTTCCAATATTCAAAAACTCTGGAGAAAATTCTGACCCCTCCAATTATCGTCCAATCAGTCTTCTTTCTGCTATTAGCAAAGTCTTTGAGTCTTTGTCAGACAATCAATACGGTTTTCGATCCTCTCGCTCTACGGCCGACTTGCTGACTGCTGTAACTGAAAGATTTTATCGTGCATTAGATGGAGGCGGTGAGGCTAGGGCTATTGCTCTTGACATATCTAAAGCTTCCGACAAAGTTTGGCATGCTGGTCTTCTACATAAGCTTGCTTCATATGGTGTTTCTGGGAAAGTTTTTGAGATTATCAAATCATTTCTTTCTAACCGGTTTATTAAAGTCATCCTTGAAGGCCAACACTCTTCTTTATTTCCAGTAACTTCTTGGGTTCCCCAAGGTTCCATCCTGGGCCCTGTTTTGTTTCTTATCTACATAAACGATCCTCCTGACAACCTTTCATCTAAAGTAGCTCTTTTTGCTGATGAAAACTCAACTTTATACTCCTGTTTTGACAAAAAGTCTTCTCTTTTCGATCGCCTAGAACAAGCAGCTGATCTTGAATCCGATCTCACTTCAGTAATAGATTGGGGTTCACAGTGGCTTGTGAATTTCAACTCTAAAAAAACCCAGTTGCTTACTGCAAACAACTACCGTAATATGGTCAACATTCCTATATTAATGAATGGCAATCCTCTTACTGAGTCGTCCTCTTTACGTCTTCTTGGATTATCGCTTACTACTGACCTTTCATGGAAACCATACATACAATCGATTGCTAAATTAGCTTCTGCTAAGGTTGCTTCTCCTTATTGTGCTTGCGATTTCCTTACTTCTGATTCCATTCTCTACCTCTACAAATCTCTTATTCGCCCCTGTATGGAATACTGTTGTCATATTTGGGCTGGTTCTTCTAACGATTCACTTTCTCTTCTTGACAAGGTCCAAAAACGCATTGTAAATGTTGTTGGACCTGGACTATCTGCTAAGCTTGAACCTCTTTCCCATCGTCGTAAAGTTGCATCTCTTTCTCTTTTCTACAAATACTATCATGGTCACTGCTCAAAGGAGTTATCATCTCTAGTTCCATCAACTAAAATTCATTCTCGTTTTACACGCCATTCAGCTAAGTCTCATTCATTTACTGTACCTGTCCCTGCATGCTCTAAAAACTTTTATTCATCTAGTGAATAAAAATAAGCAATTGCTATTACTCAGTAATTGGTCAGCTTTACGCGAATAAAACTTGAAGCAGTTTGGCAAACTTGAGCAGTTTGGCTCATATTTTATTTACAAAAAGTTAAGCAATTTACTCAGTAATTGCTCAGCTTTAAATGACTAAAAATTTAAGGGGAAATGCTAAAGTTCTTTTTCATGCCAATTACTGAGTAAAAGCAATTGCTCCTTTTTATTCACCCGACCTTTTTTTTATTAAGTACATCACCCTAAATTTCTTTCGCGTGGAGATTTTCATTCAACATAAAATACTAATGAATTTAAATTACTTTAAATCTCTGCATAGAAGCCAATAATATTCAAAAGTTCATTAAAGTGAAAAGTTGAAATGGGAAAAGCAGTTAAAATGAATTTTTGTTTCATTCTTTTTTTTTTTTAACAAAACAGTCTGGTTTTTATCTTTGATTTTTAAAACATTGCACCAAACTAACTTATTATTAATAATTTAAATTATTATTTTATCAACAATTTTATATTAATAATTTTACTACTTTAAGTAATTATATAAAGTAAATATATATTTAAGTAAATATATATTATTTTGTTTTTATTAATTTTTTCTAATAGTTAATCAATGCAATCAATAGTTAATAATAATAGAAACCAGCAACTTTTTTAATTTATTATTTAATTAAAATTATTTATAACTAAATTATTTATTTGCTTCATTTTATTTTAAATGCGTTTTAAGTTATTAAGGTTATAAACTGCGTAAAACAGCGCCACTAAGTTGTTTTACATTAACATAAGCTATTTATATTTTTAAAACAACTTTGCAGTTTGTTTTATTGTTTTTTCTATAGCTTTTTACAATATTTACAATAACATTTTTTTTTTTTACAATTTTTACAATAACAATTAAATACTCTTTAAAAATAACACGTGTTTTATCGCCAGCATGAATGTATTAAATAGCTTTCTATGACTAATTAAAGTGGTTTAAATATTGTAATGTTTGCTTTTTGCTCTTAGTTACTTTTTTAAGTATCATGTTAAGTAAAAACAATTAATTAATAGTACTAAATATATTACTTGCTCATTACACTGTAACTGCAGCTTTAACTTTAAATTATGAATTAAGCTGTAAATTAAACAGTAACTTATGCTATTTTAAATTCCTCCAAACGAGAAAATTATAAGATAATATTTAAATATGAGATATGTTAAAAAATAACAATTACGTACTAAAGAGGCAAGTTTATCTAATGCAACCCCCCCCCCTCCATTATCTCAAAGCGGCGCAAGCTATGAGGAATGCTGAGGAGGGGGGGGGTTGCTGATAGAAACATTCAAACTTACTTTTATTAGTATTACCCTAAACAATGTTTGGATAGCTAATAAGACAATGAATAAAAGAATAACATAATTGTAATAATGTTTATTTAGATGCTTCTTGTTTTGTAAAAAATATCTATAATTCTTAAAATTAGATTGCATAAGTTAGTAATATGGTTTTTCCAGTTTTTTTTGTCAATGATTATCTACTCAGTTAAAGAGATGATGGTTCCATGATAGTTAAGTTCAAAAAACTGGTTACAACTGATCATCAAACCTGTTTTACTGATGGAATACACTTGCGAGCTCAGAACTGCCTTACAAAAAACCTTTTCAACAAATCTAACATAGAAGATTTAAATAAACAAGTCACGAGAATAAAGTCAGCAGCAACAAATTTGACACTTAAGCCCAATTTTAAAGCGCCATCCAGAATAAAAACAAACCGATTCCAAAAGTAAAACTGCAATTGCAATCTGTCATCATAAAAGTTAATTTCAAAAATCAGTTCAATAACTTAGTCAAAAATGATGTACCTTATAAGTAAAATAAAAGACAACACAGAAAAGAGTTTTCACTTACTGTTAACTCCAGAACAAAATGGAAGTCTACTGTGGATGGCTCAGTAGTTCCTCAAGGATAAAGATCCAATTAAAAAAATATAAAAACATTTTTCAATAACTGATTTGCAGCGATTCTACTTTATCAAACTTTGTTGCTTCTTAGGGGTCGTCCACAAATTACGCCACACAATTTTTGACAGTTTTGACCCCCTCTCCCCACTTATCACAACATTGTAACTTTTTAGTAACAAATTCTGTATGAGTTGTCACAAAAACACTAACCCACCCCTCCCCCTAAAGTGTGATGTAACTTATAAACAACCCCTTATGAACTTATTAAATTAGCAGTAAATAATTTTACCAAAAAAAATGCAACTCTCTTTGCTGACAGATTTCTATGTTTTTTGTAAGCAAACTGAAACAACAAGATTCAACTCTTTACATTCTGATGAAAGTGCACTTTTGAGGCATATTTGAAGATTTTGCGACACATTGAAACACATTTTAAGAAGATAAGAAAAAATAATCTTGTAATCGTGTAAAGATATCCATTCAAAATAATAATGATTTATACCAATTATAAAATTTTATATAGAGATAGATATATAAACTATATATAGTGATTATAAAATTATTAATATAGATTATACAGATATGAAATTCAGCTTTATACTTTGCATATCTGATTTATTGAAAAATTGAAATGTTTAACAATATTATAATTTTCTTACCTTGTTCCCAGTCAATGAAGATATTTCTTCAGCAGCATTTTGACAAATTAGGAGTTTTCTAAGAAATTAATTACATATTTAGTCTATATTTATTTTTTGTGTTTTACACTGACAAAAAAAAAAAGATTATTTTCTTTAAATTTCCCATCAACTTCAAAAAATGTAAAGCGAAATGTTGATGAAGATTCCTTTTTTTTTTTTTTTTTGCTGCAACTCCTTATAATTAAAACTGATTGACAGTCAAGACTATTGAATATAATTTTTATGATAGCAGTGGCTTTATCTGCAGGATTTCAATATGTGCTTTCCTTGTACAGTAAAAACATTCTAAAATAAAAACTAGGGCTAAAAAGTTGTTGCGTATTTCCCTTAAAAGAAATTAACTAACAGACAATATAATCCAGTAGATAAATCTAAGTCATTTGTGATGGTTAAGTCTAGTTCTTCTTTCTTTGATGTTAATTGATTAATTTTCATGCTATACAGTGGAATGCAGCTTTTCTTTTTTGCTTTTATTATTTTTTTGATTACTCTATTTATAAACAGCTTTGTTGCATATATTTTTGACAATAATAATTAAGCTTTAGTTCGTTGTATAATAATTAAGCTTTAGTTCGTATAATTTAGTTTGTGTCTTTGAATGAATGGTTGGCTCAATAAAAGTTTGAGATTTTTCAAAAATATAATCCCCTCCTCAAAACTCAGGGGGCCACTATAGATAGAGAGGTTATTTTTTTATTTTTCTAAATTATTGTTATACCCCTTGCTAAACCCTATAACTTCAAAACACAAATAGGTCTGTTGCGCTAAGAAACAAGTTAAACTTGGTACTTCTAGAAATAAGGTGGATAAAAACTCCATATCTCACGCTTACAAAGCAAATACTCTACCAATAAGCACTGGCAAAAGTGTTTTCATTAATTAAATACCAAACAGCAAATAAAAATTTGTTAAACTTTGGTACTGAAGTTTAGCAAATGCTCACTATTTGAATAGTCTCAAAAACTTATATTAACTTATATATAATAAGTAAAAACACAGAAAGCACTCTTTAGCACATCAGGTCTTGTTTTAAAGCATTAAGCATAGAGCAATTTATGTACACCTTTTTTTACATAAGTTAAGCAACTTTTTATCATTTTTTAACTTTTAAATTATACTTTAAGCGGTAAGATTTAAGAAGTAATTAATTTTTAAAAAAGTCACATTAACTTTTGAATGACATTGATGTAAAAATATTTTTTACAAAAGTTTGAATGACAGTAATGTTTCATATAAGCGCTATATAAATAATAAATTTAAATAGTAAACTTTTTTATTAGTAAATACTTACTAATGAAAAAAACTCAATTAAAATTAAAAGTTTAATTTTACTTTGTTTTTATTTTTATTATAATGATTGATTTTTTAAGCTTAAAGCAAAGATAATAAAAAAATAATTTAATTCTGATAAAATAAATATATGATTTAATTTAAAACTAATTTAATAAAAATATATAATTCTGATAAAAAAAAAAAAATGATTTAAATTAGATTTAAAAAATATATAATTTAATTTTGATTTAAAAAATATATTTAAGTTTATTGAAATTAAAGTTAATGCTTGGGTTTAACTGTCAAATCTATTTAATGATATTACTTAATGTTGTTAAATTTTCAAATTTCCTTTGTTCTTAAAAAAAAATCAACTTATTTTTATTGCACTTATTTTTTCGGTTTTCCTTGTTAAACATTTTTTTTTACTCAAAAATAAATTTTAAATAAACAGCTGCATCAAAATTTTGCACAAAATGTAAATTGAACCTTTTTTTTTATAACACCAGTTAAATTCAGCAATTATTTTTTAAAAAACAATATACTTCAGCAATGTAATTCTAATAATAAAGTAATAAATTTCTGGAAGTTTTCCATGAAATTTTCCACAAAATTTCCAGGTAATTTTCAACCCTAATTAGCGAAAGAATCCTCCAGAAAACAGACGTATGTTCACTATTGCTCGAAACCATTGTAAAAAGGTTTCTAGCAATAACGTTAAAGTCTGCTATTCTCAGGTCATAAAATCTTATATTTCTTTTTAAAAAATGGGCTCTCCTAACTTCTGGAGAATCTTTGACAGTATCTATAATGAGGGCAAATCTATGATTCTACCTCTCTTATATGGTTCAGATTTTATCACCTCTCTTAAAGACAAGGTTAAATTGTTTGCTAAGAACTTTTCATCAATATCATCTCTTGATTCCACTTCTATCTGATGCATTCTATCTGATATAGCTGTCAAACAGGTTGATCCATTAATTGACATTCGTATCCTCCAGCTTCTGTATCTAAACTGATTTTCTGCTTAGACTCTTCAACAGCTTGTGGCCCGTACAACATACCTGTTATAGTCTTGCAGAAGTGTTCTCCGGAGCTGTCGTCTATACTTTCAAAACTATTCAATAAGTGATTATCAGAATCTTGTTTTCCAGCCTGCTGGAAAGCAGCATCTGTTATCCTTTTTTTAAAAAATTATGGAGAGCAATCTGATTCGTCTAACTACCACCCCATTAGTCTTCTTCCTATCATAAGCAAGGTTTTTGAATCTTTAATTAATAAACACTTAATCTCTCATTTTGAACCTAATAACTTACTTTCTGATCATCAATATGGATTTAGATTTTCTCGTTGTATAGCTGATTTGATAACAGTAATAAACAATAGGTTTTATCATGTGTTAGATAAATGTGGAGAGGTTGCTATTGCATCTCAACATTTCTAAAGCTTTTGTTGTTCTTGACGTTTCTAAAGCTTTTGATAAAGTTTGGCATGCTGGTCTTCTTTATAAGCTTTTTTCCTACAGTGTATTTGGTAACATCTTTAAGACTATTGAATCCTTCCTTTTCAATCAATATATAAAAGTTGTCCTTGATGGAGAGTACTCTTCTTCATATCCTGTAACTTCAGGGGTTCCTCAAGGTCCTATCCATGCCCTATACTCTTTTTAATTTACATTAACAATCTTCCAGATATTCTAACATCTAAGGTGACATTGTTTGCTGATTATGTAAAATTTATTTTTGTCATGATAAAAAGCCAACACTCTCTAATTGCTTGGAGGGGGCATTTGAGCTTGAAAAGGATCTCACTTCTGCTTCAGCATGGGGCTTATAGTGGTTGGTGAACTTTAATTCAGATAAAACCTAATTTTTTTCAGCCAATTGTTATCGAAATAATTTAGATCTTCCTATATTTATGAACGGTAATGTACTCGATGAGTCATCTACCTTTCATCTCCTAGGATTAACTTATACTTCTGATCTTTCTTGGAAACCATTTATTAAATCAGTTGCAAAATTAGCATCTGCTAAGGCTGCATCTCTTTATCGTAATTAACACTTTCTTACTCCTAATTCTATTCTTTATATCAATAAATCTCAAATCTGTCCTCGTATGAAATACTGTTGCCATATTTGGGGCAGATCTTCCAATAATGCTCTTTTTTTAGACAAGGTGCAAAAAGCATTGTAAAGATAGTTGGACCTGCTCTTGCAGCCAACCTCCAACCGTTATCATATTGTAGTTATGTTACTTCTCTTTCTCTTTTCTATAAATACTACAATGAGCATTGCACTAAAGACCTAGCATATCTTGTGCCATCTACTAAAAGTCTTGTTTTCCTGATTCATATAACTTGCAATCTATTAAGCCGTCTGATAACTATTATCTTTCTATATAAATCTTTTCTCTTCCAGTAATTCCCAACTCTAATAGTGGTTGCTTTCAGCCTTGCTGAAAACAACCACTATTAGAGTTTTGAAGATGTTGAAAAAAACAAAAAAAAATATTTTTTCTGGGACCGAGTGAAAAGACCAATATTAAACTGAGGCCAGGGTCTCAGTTCAATATTGAACTAAGGACCCCGTAATTTATTTAAATCATTTTTTAATCAATGATAAAAAATAAAAAAAAGGCAAATAGCCACTTTGGCTCTTGTTTTAATAAGTCTTATCATAACAATAAGAACCAGAGTAAAAAATTAACAGGTTATATGAGCACCGGTTATTCTAATAAAATAATTTGGGCAGCAATACACTCCATATTACAATCCTTGCTTTGACAATTGTGGACATATTGTGGTAAAACCTTAAACCAATACAAAACAGGACTGCATATCAGATAACTACAGAAATTGATACTTTTTTTATCTATTATTATAACCAAGAGTTTTTTATTAAATATTTTATTTAAATAGGTGCTAGATTTCTGTATATAAAATTTGGAAATGGAATAAATACAACTTTTTTTTTTGCGACATCCAAATACAGGCAACACTGTCAAAAAGCGTCTAGAATAGCATCTGGTATCAACCACCCTATATAATATAGACTGTCTGCAAAAATAAACATATTAAAATAAAATTTCTATTGTTTTCATACTTTACAGCAAGATGCAATGGTTAGCAATGAGAATAATTATAAACAGGCACTAAATTTTGAAAAGATGTTCAACTTTTTAATTTCTACCACTATCATTTTTTAAAAGATTTTTATAAGTTTCTCAAAGAAAGCATATTTATTAACAAATTGTACACAAAAAAAAATCACAATTGCTAAAGAAAATGTAAATCATGGTAATTCATGATTTGCATTTTCATCAGCAACATAAAAAAAAATTTAAACATAGCATCTGCAAGAGCAGATTGTAAGCCATGCTCTGCGAAAAGACAATTAGGCCTTCCTTTAAACCCTTACTGTAACCATACCACTAAACATTTTAAGTTTCACCATTAAATTTCTTTGTTACACATACATTTACAATAAAAAACTATTTAGAAAAAAAGTTTTGATTTGCTTAAAATCTTACCTACTTGCAATAACAACAGTAGCACCAAGTTGAGACAAGACTTTTGCCATTCCTTTACCTAAACCAGTACCACCACCTGTTATAAAAGCAACCTTTCCATTGAAAGTACCATTAGGTAACATTGTTTTCAACAAAGCTGGAAATTTACTACTCATTTTTGTCAATTTAAATATATTTTTTTTCAACTCCTGGAATTACAAATTTAAATGCAAACAATAATTTTTACATATTAAACAAATACTCAACATGAAAATCTAAACATTGGAACTAACAATTTGAGATGCTTTATATAATATGAAAAGTAATAACATGAAAAGAAAGAAATATTTTGCTTATAAAATGGCTTCACTAAAAAAAAAACATTTTTTCAAACATATAATTTATATGTAATTTATATTTAATTTAACAATATTTTTGCCTGTTTTTCAGTTTATATCATAAACTGAAAAACAGGTAAAAGTATTGTTAAATTAAACTATTAGGAAAGTGATATAAATACACATTATAAATACTATGTTTCAGTTAAAATTACAACAAATATTTAAAGAAATAAGATTACAAAGTATAATACTGTTAATTTAATTTCCTCATTTTGTAATTTTAGGTTCTAAATTTTAGTCATGAATATTTAAATATCATTACTCAACCTCATCTAAATAGTTAAATTGTAGTATGCTATTGTAAAATTAACTTTTTAACTACTTGCATTATGCTTTCACAAAAGACTTTTTAAAATACTACTTTTGAAAAGTAAATTCTAGTAAAAAAAAAAACAACTAGAACTTCTAGTAGAAAAGTAAAAGAAAAATTCTACTTTTGAAAAGTAGTATTTAATAGAATATTTAATTGTAAAACTGTGTGAGATATGATTTATTTACTGATTGATCTTGAATCAAAGCAAGAAAGATTTTATTAGCTAAAAAAGAAATATTTTATGAAAACTTTGTGAGATAAACTTTGTATTTATTAGCTAAAAAAGAAATATTTTACGAGACAAAAAAAGAAAGATTTTATAGCTAAGGTCACGTACTTGAACCTCTGCTACTATCGTTTTTGAAATTTTATCTCTATGTGATTTATTTTAAACTTTGTTTTAAAAGTTTATTAGCTAATAGTATTAATTTTGTTTTGTATTAATAATACAAAACTAAAGTTTACGATTTTTTGAAAATTGGAAATTTATCAGACTAATTACACTAATTTAATCAATTTTCTAGAAAATTCAAAAAAAGTTTAAACTGTATCGTTGATGCTAAATTTTAACTTTCAAATTCACAATTGATGTTTTAAATATTCGAACTTTGTACTTGTAAATGCTGATCAAAGAGTCAGAGAAGAAAGCAAGATAAGATTATAAAAAAATATTTGCGCTCTTGTCTTTAACAAATTTATTTCCTACATAAATTTATTTACAAAAAATGTGATTGGTTAACAATTCGAGCTATTAAAATTATGTGTAAACTTACATGATAAATGTCAACACAAAAACAATCACCCCCAGCAGATCTGTTGGTTGATCGTTTTCATGTTGACATTTATAAGGCCGAATTTTATAAGTGCAAAGCGTTGCAAAAGCGCGAACTGGCAAAAGTGCAAAAATGCGAACAGGCACAAAGCATAAAAGCGCCGAATAAAATTGCAAATATTAACATTATGCTTTAACTTACGCCAATGTTAACAAATTCTTTTGGCGCACTTATGCCAGTTTTTGCATATATATATATATATATATATATATATATATATATATATATATATATATATATATATATATATATATATATATATATATATATATATATATATATATATATATATATATATATATATATATATATATATATATATATATATACAGTGGGCAAAATAATTGTCCGTACATTAATGAAAAGTATCTATATTTGATCAAAATAACATTTAAAAGTATTTAGATAGTTGTAATTAAGAGTTTTTAAAGAAATATTATATATAAAGTAATTTAAGTGTATTAGTTAAAAGTATATTAATATATGAAAAGTTATATAAGTTTATTTGAAAAGAGTTAAATGTTTAAACAAAAAAATTGTCCGAACACTATGTTAATTTTTAAATTAAAATTAGTTAAAATTAAATTAATATCTAGTTGAACCACCATCAGCTTCAATAACTGCTCTACAACGATTTTTCATTGATGAGACGAGTTTAGACGTAATTTCTTGATTAATTAATGACCAAACATCTAAAACCAATTCTTTGAGCTCGTTTTTGTTCTTTGGAGCTCGATCTTTCATTCTTTTTTCCACCACCGACCATAAATGTTCTATAGGGTTCAAATCGGGCGATAGTGCAACCCAATACAACACGTTAATGCCATTTGCAGCAAGATATCTGGTTACAAATCCAGCTTTGTGCTTTGGATCGTTGTCATGTTGGAATATAAATTCCGTTCCAAGTCCTAATTTTCCTGCCGAAGCCACCAAATTCCGTTCTAATATGGATCTATATAAGTGTTGATCCATTTTCTCATCAATAAATTCAATTTTGCCAACACCGGACGCTCTCAAATATGCATCTGTCAACTTTTGGCGTTGTTGATCTTTTTCTGCCTCGTACACTATTATTTGCCACTGATTTTGTTTTTAAATACTTTTCCCATATATATTGAACAGAGCTTGGTAGTATTTTTAACATTTTTGCAACTTTTCTAATTGATAATTCATTTTCCCTATTAAAAATTACTCGTTTACGAAGTCAATACTATGTTCTTTTCTTTTTCCTTCCATCATAGCGACATAGTTAAGAAAAGGTTTATTTTTATTTATTATAGTATTATTTAACCTAAAAGTACAAGATATTAATATAAAAATCATTTATAAACAAATCTTTACCTTTTAAATCAAGTGTACGAACAATTTTTTGGTTTTAAAATTTTTAAAACTTTTAAATAAGTTAATTATAATTTAAACTGTCGGGAGAAAATTAAAGATGGTGTATCGTTTTTATTTGTTTTCTTGTGCGCTATCTATTGGTTTAATTTATTTTTTTCTATCATTTAAAGTTTTAGAGCTTTTTTCAAAAAACCTTATTTTTCATTAATATACGGAGTTTATTTTTGCCCATTGTATATATGTATATATATATATATATATATATATATATATATATATATATATATATATATATATAATATATATATATATATATATATATATATATATATATATATATATACACGGAAGCGATTTTACGGGGAGTTACACACCTCCAAAGAAGGTTGTAGTCGGTTATTTTTACAAATTTAGTTGGATAGTCGGGTATTTGACAATTCGTAATACACAATTCAGTCGGAAAAATGACGTATTACACAATTCATCACAATGATAAATAACATCACAATGATAAATGACGTATTACACAATTCAGTCGGAAAAATGTTATTTTTGAAAACCTTTTTTTTTTTTTTACAAAGCCAGTCGGTACTTTTTAAGGATTCAACCCCCCATCCCTTTATTATTATTATATATATATATATATATATATATATATATATATATATATATATATATATATATATATATACATAGGCGTAAAACGCGCTAGGGCTTGGGGACTCGAGTCCCGTCCGGAAATTTGTCGCTGGGGCTTTGCCCCACCCGGGAAAAATCACCTAGCTTTCAAAAATATTTACAAAATAAAAACCATAATATACTGAAACATTAACAAATGTAACAATTTAAAAACGATTGTAATAATTCTGCAAAACCTACGGTGATTTTCAAAAGTTTAAGCTTTCAAAAGTTTAAGTTATTTTTCTCTAAATTCTTTCGAATTTCAGAAATTCCACGCTTCTAATTAGTCTCAAAGGAGTTTGAGACCGGTAAAAACGTAACAAACCAGTTAAACCTTCGTTTAGTATTTTTTTTATCTTTGATAACTTTGGCAGTATTATTTGTATTAATTATTTATAAGTTTTGAATTAAAACTAAATTGAATTAGAAAAAAGTAAGTTTTTGAAGAAATTTTTTAATTCTTTAACTTTTGTTTAAAATTGACTTTTAAGTAATAAGTTGTACAAAGTTGTACAATGAAGAAGATTAGTGAATACTTTTCAAAAAAAATAAATTAAATTGAAACAGTTGCATTATTTTCTGAATCTCAAAATGCTAATAACATCCAAGATAATGAAAGTTTATCATTTGTTCAGTCAGATGATGCAACTGATTCAACCGCTGTTGTTGAGTCGCCGTCTTTTACAGAAGAGCCTGGACCTTGTTGTTCAAGACAGTCATCTTTTCCATCAAAAAGGGAAGAAAATTTCAACAAAGCTGGAATATAAATTATATATGGGTTTTACATGACCATGAGAAAGAAAAAAAACTTTTTTGTTCTACCTGCATCAAAGCTACCCAAATGATCATGCCTTTACCTCTTAGTTCAAGATAAAAAGATTCGTACGAAGCTTTTATTTTAAACAGATTTTCTAATTGGAAGAAAGCGTTACAAATTTTTGGTTCTCACGAGCGATCTGAACTTCATAGGGCGTCCGTTATTACAATCAGCAACATTGGAATCGACCGTTATCCAGCAGCTTAATCATCACCAAAAGAAAGAAACGATGGATAATCGTACGGCTTTATCAAAAATATTTACAACGCTTCTTTATTTGGTAATTCCTTAATTTCGTTTAAGAAAAAGTTAGATTAACTATCAATCGTTAAATTTATTTACAGGATAAACTTACGTTACTGGATAACTAAATGTTTCTTCTTAATGTATTAGAGAACGCAAGGCCTTGCAATTTGTGGAAAGGTTGAAAATAATTTAAACTTTTGCATGCTACTCAAATTACGAGCAGACGATTCTCTGGAACTGAAGAAATTGTTGAATCACCTGAAAAGCAAAAGTGGCTCTCGCCTGAAATTGAAAATGAAATCCTACAAGACTTTGCTCATGCAACGCTTTGTAAGCTATGCGAAAGTATAAGGGAATCACAGTTCTATAGTTTGATGGCCGATGAAACAACGGATATGTCCGCAAAAGAATAAGTTTCGATCTGCATTCGGTTTTTTAATGAAAAATTTAAAATTGAGGAGCGGTTTTACCAAACCGAGAACATCAAGAGCGCAACTTTGTTAAACTTTTTGATGGATGTTTTGTGTCGATTTAACCTTTTGATTCAAAATTGTTGGGGCCAATGCTTTGACGGATTGTTTAACTGGAATCTTTTTGTAGGTTTTACACATTTTTCAAATTGGAAATTTTGCACATGATCTTCACGATAATCGAGGATGCTAATACAGCACTCCAAGGTAAATATTGTTTTATATTAAAGTTTTTTTTTTTTTGGAAGTATCTATGGATTGTACCCTTTAATGAGAGGGGAAGAAAAGCGGGCAATTATCGCTTTTGCCCGTGGATCTCCAAAACGACTGGTATGTTACAATAAATTTTGAAATTTAGAGGATGTAGAAAGCGGAACACCACTGCGGCCATTTTGCCCCACTCGAAGAATCCTTAGAAAACCGTCTATTATATCTATTAAGAGTAACTATTCCGCCATCATCAACTAGTTAAAGAATTTTCAAAATCATTCTGATAATTCAGCCAAAAATAAGTCAGAAGCAGCGGGTTATCTGGAATCTTTTTGTAAGTTTTACACATTTTTCAAATTGGAAATTTTGCGCATGATCTTCACGATAATTGACGATGCAGCACTGCAAGGTAAGTTTTGTTTTATTTCAAAGTTTTTTTTTTTTTAATAACATATTATTTTAAGCAAATTATGATGTTAAATGTTTATTGAAAATAATTTTAGACATGCAGCTTAATTTTTGCAAAACAAGAAATACCATCAACACGCTTAAGTAAGTGTTAAAAGAAGCCCGGGGTCATAAATTCTTATGGGATGCAGCCCTTGTAGCAGCAGAATGTACTTAACTTGACAAATCAGAGATGCCACGGAAACGTAAAATTACATAAAAATTTACCGAAGTGGAGTTCCATTTTTTGCTACGACTCTAGAGGACTAATACCATCAGCTTTTCTATGCATCTCTGGATTGTGTTACAACGGGATTTGCGACCCGTTTCTAACTGAGACCAATGAGCATTTAGCAAATGTAGAAAAAAAATATTCAACTTAATGATTTTGAATCTGTTTTGAATGAGCTTGTAGACCATGATCGTGTCCTTTCTCACTTAATTCCACTGATTCCCGAGTTTGTAAAGTTGGTGAAGATTTTACTATGTATGTCTGTCACCTCATGTACGTATAAGCGTTCTTTTTCTTGTCTTCGTAGGTTAAAGACTTATTTGCGTTCTATGATGTCTCAGGAGCGATTGAATCATCTCGCTATTTTAAATTGCCATCGCGATAATGCTTACACTCTTGACCTTGATTATTTGATCGATGAGTTTATAATGATTGCCTTCACACGGATGAACACATTTTACTTGAGAAAACAAATTACATTTATGCCCAATGGAAAAATTTTTATTTCTTACCTTTCACATCATCAGAGTTGATGTAACTCAAGCTACTTTAATATATGATTTGATATTAAAAAACTACTAGAAAGAATCTGTATTAAGCATCAGAGATTCCATTAATGCGAGGGATGTAGAGGTCACTAACATTACCATGAAAATTAAGGAGGTGTTTTTAAATAAAAGATTGTTGATAGATAGTCGTGGTGGTATTTAGAGCAAATGAAAATCTGTTGAGAATTCCATAATTATTGGATCGTAATTGTCAGCTATGATTTTTTCAAGTTTATAAATACAGAAGTTTACGCTGAGAGTTTCTAATTTGATTAAGATCCTTGAATAAAAATAGAATTGATTTAATAGTGTTGTGCATTTTTATTCATTGCTCATCACAATTATATTCTCATTAAGCAGAATGCCAAAATATTTGTATTTGTTGACAATTTCGAGCTCAGAATAATTGAGTATAAGAAATTACAGAGTATAATTATTGAAGTACCAAGCATTAATTCTAATGACTTTACATTTTGAGCTGTTGAGTTTCATAACGCTATGAAACTCAATAGCTCAAAAAGGCCACAGACCAAAGAGTGACACTATAAAGAATTAATTGAGGCAAGTTGGCTGGAACTTTAATTTAGAAATAAAAGTTAGGATGTCATAAATAAATTTTTTGACAATAGTTTCAGGTAGCAAATTTTATGTAGGACACAAAAAGAATAAATAAGATTAGATTTAAAACCTCTTATTAGTTACTCCGGCTTGGATATATTTCCAATAAGTGGTGTAATCACGTAATCACACCATTAATTGGAAATATATCCAAGTTCCAATTAGTGGTGTGGCCACGAGTATTCATTAACTTTAGTATTAATTTGTTTTATTCAATATAATTAAATGCATCGCAAAACCGAAGATTGTTGCAAAATCAATTTATTATTTTCTTTTTTTTTCATGACTCAGTCCTATGTAACTTGAATAATAGCATCCATTGTACTATGTAACTTGAATAATAGCATCCATGGTACTATGGTCTGAGAGAAAACCGAACTGTTTATCAGTGACCCAGGTTTCTATTGTGTGATGGAGGATAAATTTGGTAATAATAAGTTTAAAAGATTGCATAACAAATTTGTTGTTTTGAAGAATTTGTGTTATGTTCACTTACTTACGTTGATCAAAGAAGTAACAGTTTTCTATGCGGCGGTTAAATAGAAAATATAGTGAAGGTGCCATTTCTACGCAAACAGAACTGAGTAAAAGTGGAGAAAGTTTATCAGGTCATGATAATCCTGCCTTTAGTTAGCTGCGTCGGTAAAGATTTTTATTTAAGACTAAAAATGAAAATAGTAGACAGATTTGCTTGACGGTCGATGAAATACGAGATGTTAGGTTATTTTTTAACACTCCAGACACATTGGAAATGATTGTTTAATAGAGTTGTGAATTGTGAAGAAATGTTGAGTTCAATGGCAATGATTTCTCTTATATTAGCAAGCCTGATTTTTTCAGAGGATATGTGCAATTATAAATATGTTTTCTTTTGGTAATTAGTTTGCTTCTTCGATTTGCAAGTACTTTTCTCTCAATGGAAATAAGACAAGATAAAGTTGTTGACATTCTTTTAATCGGATCAAATAAAGGGCGTAATTCAAAGCTTAAGGTAGAGCGATACAAAGCATTACTTAAGATGATGTCAAAAATAGCTAGCTTGCCGACTAGGTTGTGTATTAAAATGAATAAATTGGTGAAAACGGCAAATAAAAATACTTTTGTCTCTCAGCTAATAATCTTATAAATGGTGTTACAGGGCCTGAAGATATAAAAAACATTTTACAAAATCTTTGTTGATTCTTTCCAGGTCATTTTTCAGATGTTTTACGCTTTTTAATACCTTATACCTTTGTGGCCACTTTTTTATGCACCATCTCCCAGCATACCTAACTGTAACAAAACCTTTGTCATGTATAAGAACTTTATGATGTAGGATATATTTATATTACTTAGATACCACTTGTATAACTTAATATAATGTACAGCAGTTTCTTTAGTATATTCGTCAAGTTCAATTGTGTTATTTTTGAAATGATGTTAATCCTCTTTAGCGTCGTTTTAAAAAATTGGGCTTTGTCTATTAGTGTTTCTGTCATTAGTATCACCAAAACCAGTTTTTAAAACATCGACCAATAGGTCAAGTTTGTCTCTAAATTGAATCTGTATGTAAAGGTGTATATTGGCATGTAATAACGATGATTCAAGATTTAAACTCTCTGGATTATGAGATCTATATAGAAATTTTTCAATTATGTTGAATAATTACATATTCTGTCACGTCATTAAGCTGAGAAGATGAGGCATTACAAATACAAAAACTTTGTGTAGAACAAAGTTTCTCTTATAAAATAAAATTAAAACTTATTTATTAAAACCTATATATTTTTAAAGGAACACAAAGTACATACCTTCTTAGCAATAAATAGAGGTTATTGTCTTCCTAAAAACGCTTACGTAACCTCAATATTTTGGCATTAAGTCGATGGTTAAGAGCACAAAGGGAATAAGTTCAACATTTTACGGTTTTGAGTTGTTAATACAGATATTGTATTAAAGCATGTAAAAGAAGTGAAAATAAAATAGTAAAAAACAAGACAGAATTAATTGAGAAATGCATTTGGTTAAAAATCATGACAAATAAATATCATGAATTATTGTATGTTTTCAAACTTTCAAATTCAGATTTCTCAAAACAATGGTTAGTGGACGTATTCCCTTTGTGCTCTTAACCAGCGAAGTAAGCAACTTAGCTTCATCTTAAATTATCATGTAACTTCCGACAAATTCAAAAAAAATACTTTCGTTCCTTTAAATATTAGAAATAGATGTGCGGCGTTAAAATAAAATAATTTGCAGCGACTATCTGGATTACGCGTCGATCGGTAACACTGTTAATACGCCAAAAGTTGCTTCATACTACTGAGCTGCTTCATACTAATAGCATGCTGAGAGAATAATAATATGTATAAAGCAGCAACTAAATACAGTAAACAAATCGTTATCTATCATTTTTTTTTTTTTGTATGTTTGTTTGTTTCTCTGCAATAATTTTATACAATAAGATAAAAGATACAATAAGAGATAAGTGAAAGTGTACAATTGTACATTTTTTATTTAAAGAAAGGCTACTTTATAGTTTTTATCCAAGATTTTTTATCAGTTGTTTTAAATTATAAACAATTATAAGCTACAACAATTAAGTTTGCTTCTCCGTCTTCTAATCGTTTCATTGGTTTGTTAAGAGTGGGAGGAGTCAAAAAAGAAATTTGTGAAGTTTTTTTAATTTTTTTGTAAGGGGGCATCCATAAAGTACGTACGCAGTAAAGCCTCTGATATAGGAACCCACTCTCCTCTTTTACGAACCTGTATTTTGAAAATACCCTCTTCCTCCAATGCAAGAAGGTGTCTTCAAAATACAGTGTAATGCGTACAAACGCATTATTTTTTTTTCAAAATTAACTTGATTTCTTTTTTCTCTCTTCATTATTTATAAAGAAATTTAAAAAAAAATTGTGACTGAAGTCAGAAAAAAAACACATTTCTGATTTGTTAAACACGTGAAATTAAATGTTAAAAAATCAAGTTTAGGAGAGATAGTCAAACCGCGTGCGTGCTAACTGTCTTCAACACCCCCTCCCCCTTTGTACGCGTTCGTATGATTTTAGAAACCCCCTCCCTCTCCTCCCCTCCTCCCCCACCCATCTTCCAAAAAAAATTTACCATGTGCATATCATACATACCATTATTAGGTGAAGAAAATACTTACATATCAGATGTTTACTATATTATAGTATGCTTATAATTTTACAATTCAGTCAATTTAAATTGACTTTATAATATATTAATATGTTTTTATGATTAAAATATCAATATATAAATGTTTTTAGTTGCAATATCTTTTCATGAAATATTTTACTTTTGATATGCCATTAAGAGGCAAGAATGTTGACTCAAAAAGCATAAGGCAAAAATGTGGTTTTAAAAGAGAAAGATTTATTTAATAAAAAATAAAAAACTCATCATCTTTAAAAATAAAACACAAGTTTTAAAAAGTAGACAAGAAGATGTAAGTTTTTTCAATGATCAGAAAGGATTGCATGTTCAAAAAATGTCGCGCAAAAAAATTTTTGGAAAATAGAAAGTGAAGTAAGAAAAAAATTTAAAGGTTATAAGAGTCCATTAGGAAACAAACAAGGTTGGTTAGAAAAAATTGGATGAGACAATAAAATGTTTAGATACTTGCAATAATAGAGATAATAAGATAGACAGCATCTCCATCCTTTTAGAAAATTTGAAAAATATATTGTTCTTATTTTTATTCATTATCCGTAAAGTAATTTCATAAATTAGCTCTTGAATTAGCTAAAACAGAAAAGTCTGCAAGTTATATAACAATAAAAGATTTTTTGGACCTGAAAACTGATTTTTTTTTTTATTTTTATTTAAAATGTTGTTTGATAAAAATGACATTACTGTAGATAGAATAGCTGAAAACCAGTTCATCCGGTATGGTGTTCTTAATAAAAGGGCGACATCAAAGATATTGAAAAAATCCAGCACAAAGCAACAAAAACTTCTCATGATTTAACAAGTTTACCTTATGCTGAAAGATGTCGGCGTCTCA